TTATGAAATCTGTTTTAATTTTCATGGAAAACTTGTCACCATATACAGGGTTCCTACTCAAATTTTTGTTTTAAATTCCATGATTTTCCCTGACCAACTTTGTAGAAATTCCCCAATCCTCACATCCCTTACAATATAGCACATTGATGAAATAAAATAGCATATGATTAACTATGCAAATATGCTATTACTTCTTTGACTTTTGTAATTAGTTATTTTTTCTAATTAACAGTTACATAATTTTTATAATTGCCGAATAATTAAAATTAAAATGTTTTATTAAATTGAAATAGTTCATCCTGTTATTAATCCACAACCATAAATCTATGTTGCTTTAAAAAAATAAAAAGCCATTATTTATTATTCATTAACAAATCCTGTATAATCCATGTACAAAAGTATACATTAATTAAATGTGCCTCTTAATAAATTTCTTGAACTTTATAAAATATTAATAAACTGGGAAAAAAAATCAAAAATTATTTATCACTTTTTGTACTTTATCATCACTTTTTTTAAAATCAGTTCATTAACATCTGCTCTCAAAGAGAGTGTAAATGATAATTGTGAGAGATTTGTAGAATTAAAATATTCAAAAAAATTTTAACCAATGTTAAATTATTAAGAGTATTACAGACTTTTCTCTAAAATTCATAATACAGTGGGTGATCAGTTAACGAACAAATTGGATAACAAACACTCTCGCAAAAGATTTTTATGTTCGGACAATGAACACCTCACAAAACAACCACAAGAAGTAGTGATGTAAAATAATGAATACCAATTGGTCTTCTTTTGTCTTCAGGCAACAATTCGAAACTGTTCAGAGCATGGAAGATGTTGACATCGACGTTCAACCCGGTATATACTAATCAGATAGTATTCCTCTGAACTTTGAAACTCTCCCTTGTAATTCCAGTTTTTTTATTTTTCTGACAGAAACAATTCTTTTATAGTATTTGTGAGACTGTCAGACGAGCAATCATTAAGTTTTGCGTCAGTTTTTATTTTTGAAAGATGAGTGTATAATAGCAAAGGTAGAGTGTGGACAGAAGATATCTGACGTTGCTGGGCAGTATGGCTTGAACAGGTCTACAGCAGACCACAGTTCAATCTTATCTAAGAAAGGTACTGTATAATCAAGAAGACTCAAGCAGCTAAAGAAGTAACAAAAATCACATCTGAGAAATAAAGAACACTGAAGAGTTCATAATGGAACCTGAAACAGATCTGACGACAGAAAAATGCCAAGAACTCTTGAATGAAGAACACCAAGAAACTCGGCGACATATGTTTTCTTCTGAAAAAGAGGATTAATGCTGATATCTGTTATTAAAGATCTTTTGAAGAAGTGGGAGGATGTCAGAACAATGGTCTTAGAATGGCATCCAAACTAGGTTGAGGCTTGGGGATTTCTACAATTGCAATGCTATTAATTACTTCTGAAAAATCCTGAAGTAGAGAGAAAAGCAATCGACATTGGACAGATTCTTTAACCCTTTCAAACGGAAAAAACATGACTAATAAAATTGCAAGACTGTGTATGTATGTATTTTTATTATTGCATATAAATAAACATAGTAAGGAATTATATATTTTTTATATTTGAGGGTCTTCAGAACGAATTAATTAAATTCCCATAAAAACCTATGGTAAATAGATAATCAGTTAACGAACAATTCAGATAGAGAACAAAGTCTTGAAAGGGATTATGTTTGTTAACCGATCACCCACTATACTGCATAATTAATACAGCTATGTGAAAATTTACAAATGACAATTGATATTGCAATATATTATATTTGGAACTTAGTTTGATTCCCTGGCATTTTGCAAGGCACTCCACCCCGAATTATCTCAACCACTTGCACATGAAAATTTCTACTATTTAGCACTACACATTGTTCAAAAATTTTAAGTGATTTTGAATGATGCTTTCAAAGATGTCAAATAAAGAAATCAGTTAAGTATCTCAGAATGGATAGATTTATGGAAGAAGGCAATGCAACACCTGGAAATCTTGCAAGGAGGAATGCCTCCAGAAAGGCTTTCTACAGGAAACTAACTCTTTAGGTCTTAGATTTGTGAAGAAAACTTGAAAAACTTCATGTGGCCAGCCCATTGGTGAGATGCAAACCAGCAACCAACTACCAGTGTTTTATCCACTAAGACATTGATGGGGCTAAGCACATAAGGAAACCAGTATTAAATACCATGGCACAGATCCAACTTCTGTTATTTCAAAATTTTAAATAATTTCAAAAAAATTATAATGTTTTAATGAAATTATTTAAATTGTAAATGTATGTAGTTTTTCTTATTAACTTTAGTTAAAATAATTTAACTTAAATAATGTAAAGGAGTGTTTTAGAAGTTAGAGAAAATGGTTATGGTGGGAAAATACTGTAATTCCAATAATATGAAAATTTTCTTTTACAATATTTTTTAATGTTTATCACTTGGAGTTCATACTTAACTGAAATTTTTGAGCCTTGACATAAAAATTCATTTTGAGATCATCATTACAAAGAAATTTTGTATTTTTGGATGTCAAAAAGTCTATTAATTACTGTCTGTACTAAGAATAAAAACAATAATTTATGTACTAAGAATAAAAACAATAATATGGTACTGAATTCAATTTTATTCCTATTAATCAACATATTGCATCAAGTTTATAATTGTATATGCTATCCTAGGATGATGAAAACATGTGCTTAAATTAAAGCATTCTTCTAATCTAAAATATTTATGTTAACTTAGCTTAATATTGCTTATATGTACGATTTAATTTTAATTTTCCAAACTATGTAATAATAATTATTAACTGGTTCATAAATTATGATTTTAGTTTGTGTGCAATAGTTTTTGGGGAAATTTTGGGTCCTGAAAATATTCTGCATGCCTTTTCATAAGTTGCATTGTACCACATTACTTCTTGCTGCCTGCAGATGGTCTGCCTTATTGTGATCAAAAAATATCAACAAGGCAGCCAAAGAGGCAAATTCCCCAGACTTTTCCTGGCTTTTTAACAATTTTTGTCAAATTCCCTGACTTTACATGAAATTTTCTGAATACTAATGAAAATTTCTGACTTTCCAGATGTGTAGGAACCCTGTAATAGTTCATTACAGACCTGAAATAACATATTAAAAATTAAAAAAAATCCTCTCTATAATAAAATAAGTTTACTTTCTATAAATATCATTGTATGAAATTTTAAGCAGCTTAATGTTAATTACAAATAAATTATCAAATATTCTTATATAATATATTTAAATGTCTATAAATCAAACTTTTATGAAATTTACACTTTCATCTGATTTTATAATAGAACACTTTTTCCACATACTATTATAAATGCATCTTAAATTAATAATATTTTCAAATTATGCAAAATCCTTACTGAAGATTGATTCAGTGTATAATTTTGATTATTGTTTTATAACTAACAGTATAAATTAAAACAAATTTAAAAACTGGCAAAATCTTGTAAGCTGTTAATTTTTTATTTTATTAACAAACATATATTTAGGTTATTATTTTTAATTTGTTTATAATCACATCCTATGAATCAGTATCAAAATGCATATCCTAAATCTAAGATTATAGCTACTAATGATAATTAGATATTACAAAAATAATCATCATACCTTCCTCTAACCAGATTTTCTTTGAATAATTCAGTTATAATAACTTTCAAATTTGAAACATTTACTTTGTTGATGAAACCATTTATACTTTTCTTCAAAGCTTCCCAGGCTATCTTCTGATAACTCTCACTAAAGAAAAAAAAAATAACAACTTGTATTAATACATATTTTTCTGTAATTATTTACTTATATATTTCATATGATAGTCATACAATATACTTGTGAGCACTATGTTGGCCTCTACATTTGTAGAATTATTACACAGTACATTAGATGGTATAATAAGTGTAGGAATAAAAAGGCCAATGTAGTGCTCACAAGCTAGATAAGAAGCATATTATAATATAATAGTCATACAAAATAAAATTATAGTTAAAATGTTCTATATAAAAATTATAATCTGAACTGGTAAGTATACAAATTATCAACAGGTTATAAACAAATACTAAAATAAAAATATTTTTTCTTTTCAATGTGCTAAAGTTTATGGGCACAGTTTGTAATTAGTAAAAATGTATTATCTGTAATTATAAAGTAGTAGTTTTAAACTTTTAATAATTTTGCAATTTAGTTTAAAACTTCCTATCTTGAAACTGGCCTTTTAAAAATGGAGGTAACGACTTGTTGAAAATCACATTTGATTTAAAAAACTTCTGTCTAGTTAGCTGACAAGTTACAATAAGCCACTCAGTAATCCAGAAAACATTTTGTTTGCCTACAGTTTTTCTTTTGCTGCAATATTTTATGTAGTCTTTGTAATCATATAAGAGAAATGTAAAATTTTAACAAATAGTGCAAGAGTTCTAGTAATTTAATGATGACAACTGTTCACCAGTTAATTAAGTATAAGCTACTGTACATACTTGTTCAATAAATTATTATTATTAATAAAAATTAAACACTGAAAAATTTACAATAAACTGCCAATTCTTAAATATGAAATCTGCTATATTTCATAAAATAAATATGAACAGAATTGACTGATGTACTGTACAATAATGTGAGAATGATCTTGAGAATGACTGATCGATCCAATGAATTTAAAGTATAAAGAATGTTTCTCAGAATGTTGAAAATACTAAAAAGTCAATTAATCTCTCAATCCTTCTATTCAATCCAAAATGATAATGATATATCATACATATTTTATAGAAGAAATAAATATTTTCAAATATTAAAATCTATTTTTATTTAACAATATAATGAAGTTTTTAAAGAATTATTATTTAAAATAAGCCTGAATTTTAAGATATACCTGCTTTAATTTATTATACATTATTAAAAACAATGGTAAATTTAAATATAATGGTAAATATGAGCTTTATTCCTAGCAAAATATTTAAATAAAACACGTTTTCAGTTCATGGCAATCTTTACTCAAAGCAATCAATCAGAATATATTCAGTTTGAACAAAATTTTATGATGTTAAAAATATTGATATATTCTAACTAATCATATTTAACATGTATCCATTGTATTTGAAACAGAAAATTTTATAACATTGTCTAATGTTTTTAGACTGTGGCAATACAAGTTATAAGTTATTACAGAAAATTAAATTTTTCAGTTGTTAAAAATTAGTACCTAGATTTATCACAAATTTGTCCCTGCATCATCCTCAATTTTGCAGGAGGGATATATGCTCCCCCAGCTTTAGTAAAAATATCTTCTATGGTCTTGGGCTTTTTATCTTTCTGGTTATCATCATCATCCTTAGTGTTTGTGGGACTGCGAGCACGTTTCCTATCCATTGTTCTCTGAAAAAATTTTAATATTTAATTATATTAATATTAAGCATTTTAATGAATGCAATTTAATAGTAGTAGTTTAAAATTTATAACAACAGTGAAAAATATTGACCTGTCTAAAAAAATTTTAGAAAATCTGATTTAGTTAAATACATTTTTTTGAATAATGCAAATTATTCAGAATCTGACATCTAAAACCACACTTTAAATGTGACGAATGTTTCACAACAACAAAAATTCACTCTCTTACGACCACCAAAATCAGAGCTTCTATTCTCTGTTGACAGAGAGTAGAAAGGTAGTTGATGACAAAGAATCTGTTACCTCTGTACATATTCTAATTTGCATATTTCAAAAAATATGTGATATAAATTAATGGATATATTTTTATCATATTTACAGATGATTAGTGCAAGTCCCTAATGCCCATGCATAAACTATTTTACAATAATAGAGAAGGGATGACTAGAGAAAGAAATGTGCATACACAAAGTTTTCTAAAAAGTGAGAAAATATACAAGTGCTTAGAGCCTGAGATCATATTGTGCTCCTATTGGTCACATTCATTATGCAGACTGTGCATGCATTTTTTTTTGTTTTGGCGGGAAAGTGAAAGTATAAAGGAAATGTCATTGAAAGTGAAATGTCGCCTGTGAAGTGAAATGTAAGTAGTAGCTTTTTACATCAAATTATTATAACTGTATATTTTTATAGATTTATGGCAATCTGGTATTTGGATAATTTCTTTAGATATATAAATAATTCCATATTCTAAATTTCTATATGTTATATCCATTATAGAAAGTTAAATTAAAATTGAAATCATCCACAATACGACTATTTAATCTCCGTGGACAAATAGAAAGAATATTCTTAACACATACACCCAATTAATTATTTTTTTGATAGTCAGTATCAAATATTAATGGAAAATAGATTTTAAACTTTATAATTGTAAATGTCTGCAGTTTCAACTAATAGAAATCAGCAACTTCTTAATCAATTGAGATTATATCATAATGTAACCATTGACATAATAGAGCTAAATTTTGGTTCTTTTCAAGACTTTGCTGATTTGAAAATGGAAATGGATTCAAATTCACATTTCATTTTAATATGTGGTTCAAAAACCATAAGAAATATAAAGCATCATTACTACATATGTAACCATACAGTAACTATAAGCCAAAAGTTGATAACATTGACAGAAAAAGAATGCGAGATCCGGAATTTTATTAACTAAAATTTTAATTAGTTCACTTTCGTTTATATAACGAATTGGAAGAAAAAAAACCCATCTTAGCCAGAAATGTGTAAACCTTCCTGTCCTAACTATCAACATTCTATTGTTCTCGCATAACTTGTAGTTCGACTTGCACAAAAGTTTATAGTTAGCATCCAAATTTCATCCCTTGTTTTAGGTCCCTGGAACACCTATAACCTTTAGCTCATAGAACATCCGATCAGGTGATGGAATTTCCCCACAAAAAGCTATAAAAGACAGTTCCTACCCCCTCTCGGGGGAGTCTCTTATCAAAAGCCGGACCGACAACATCGAGTCGAATCTCCGAACCCGCTGAAATTCCGATCCGCTAACATCGATATACGTTCATCGCCAGAGTCGCAAACTTTTATATTTGTGCTCATTTTGATCAAAGGCACCTTTTATTGGACATTTATGTGCCTACATGGGCTAAATCGTCAAGGAAACCTACAAAGAAGTATGAAAAAGCATGTAAACTCTCTCTTGAGCTGTTAGGCAGTTTAATGTAGAGATTTGTGTTGTAGTTTTGTTAATTTGGTTTATTTTAATAAATTCTTATTTTATTTGTCAAAAAGGTAGACTCCTCTACTCGTATACGGCCTTCACCTTATCATCGACCCCAAATACTCTCCTCTCCCTCCACTCGACCGTCATTTGAGAGTCCCAACTCTTGGGACAATTATCGTAAAATAACCATCTCGACAGTGAGCAGGTTTAACGACCTGTTGCAGAACAGGGAGGTGTGACTGACCCCGACCTCCCCTGTGGTTCACAAGAATATTGAAATTACAAGGCACAACCAAGTTGAATATGAAATGTACTGCTTATATTGCAATGGATGAGGATATTCAGACAGGCCAGGTGGCAGCAAAATTTTGCAGAAAACATTATTCACACAAGAAAACTATTGCACATATTCCAATGAATGAAACCACGAGGATTAGTATTGCAGCAAAATTAAGAGCTGGGATTACATCACGTTGAATTACACAAGGTTTAAGACAATTTTCATTTCCAGCAGAGTATTCCCTTGCACCAAAATCAGCTAGTGTTTCAAAAAAAAAAATCAACATTAAGAAACAATAAATGGAAACCACTAGAAAATACTTCTTTATATTGTTGAATACCAGAACATTGTGGTTGAAGCAAAAAGCTCAACTTTGGTTTTTGTTAAAATGTTGTAAAAACGGACTCATCCCCAAGTGCGTCGCTTTTAAATATGAGTTTCCAATAGATGTTCGAACCATATTGCCTCAAATGGAACGAAGTCTCCTAGCAAGACTAATTAAAAGTAAATGCAAAACAATATCAGAAGAAGACAAAATGTATGTATCCCACCTATTCTTCGCTAAGCAGTGAAATCCGGAAACTCTATTATAGCAAACAAAAAAGCATATGAAATCAGGAGAAACTTGAACAAGTTTTCTTGGTTACAAAAAACATCCTGCCATAAACGAAGAAGAACTACGAAGATTCCATATTACAACTTCACAAATGCAAAGGTACCGGAAACTGTTCATCAAATATCACGTAGGCTGAAACACATACCCATTCCAAGGTTGGATTATTCACAACTAATTCCTTCCACCATGGCAGCTATAAAGAACATCGGCTGTCCAGGATTGCAACATAAATTGGAACTTTGTGCAATATCCAGCAGAGCATCACAACGATATTCGAAAACAAACAAGTCGAACATACAAACTGCTCTGACGGTGAAACTATTTCTTGGAAGCAATCATCTAAATTTGTTAGTTGCTGATAAAGATAAAAGATTTGTGATATGTAAAAACTAAGATTTCTTGTCAAGAGCCAATGAATTTCTTGAACAATCCAAGTCTGTTCTAGTAAAAGAGGACCCGACACCAACAATACTAAGGAAGATACAAAAGGTTATAGCCCAGGGGTAACATCTTCTTTAGTAGGACCTCTCAATCTGCCAACAAATGTTGCTTGCCCAAGATTATTCTTTGAAGCAAAAACACAAACCTACATGGCCTCTAAGACCCCTAGTTAACAAATGCTTCCACCCAACATACTTTCTAGAGACAGCACTAGCAAAACACATTACATCTTTAGTTCCACTCTCAGATTTGGTAACTATAGCTGCTTTGGATGCTAAATCTTTCATTTTCACTAAATTAAATAACCTTCCCAGTTGTATAAAATAGATGTAATTTCCTTATATCCATCAGTACCACACTTTGAAGCCATCATGCTTGTAAATGCGCTATTACTGAGCTCTAGTTACCCAACATCACGTGTGTTACATTTTGAGAGGCCCTCTTACTCGTCACAGAAAACAATTATTTTCAATTTAATGGGAACATATACAAACAAACCCAAGGTGTGCCAATGGGTTCCCTGTCACCCATTTTAGCAGAGCTCATCATGAGGAACATAGAGTATCGCATTTTCCATGCCCTGTTAGCAATCCACTATCCAATCATGTATCTACAATATGTAGATGACATATTACTCGCATGGGATGGCTCCGCAGAGGAATTAGATGAGTTTGTTCAAATGTTAGCATCTATATATCCTACCATCAGATTCACAGTGGAAGAGGAACAATATACCAAAATCTCATTTCTAGATCTGGAAATATATAGATCTCCTGAACTACTTTTTCAGTGCACCACAAAAACAACAGAATACCAAATATTATCCCTGCAACTGCCTTCCAACCTCAAATTTTGTAAATTCTGCTATTACTTCTCTTATTCGGAGAGCGCTCCTTCTCCCGTCCACCCAGACATTAATAGACAAAGAATTGCACCTTATTAACAGGGCAGTGCAAAATGCTGGGTATTCTACTTCCAGATTTCATTATCTCCTTAACCGTGTCAAGAACATTTCCAAAATCTTTCCTCTGCAACAAAAAAGAATTCAATTTAGTACAACCTCTGATACCATTTTTGAGCCTATATCCATAAAAATAACATGTATATTCAGAAAACATGGTTTTATTTTGCCCATGGTCCCTCAACCAACATTAAGAAGTTTTGTGCAATGATAGAGACACTCACGTTGAATGAAAAATCAGGAGTTTACGAAATCCCATTAAAACATACATTATCAGGGGAAGAAATCATCTATATAAAAGCAACCACCAGAATGTTATGCTCCCGCATCCTTGAACACCAAGAAGATATTAAAAACAACAGAACAACAATGGAATTAGCTAAAAAAGTGCTAAATCAAGATTATCTACCGCTCTGGAACCATACAAAATTACTTAAATGTTGCGATAATCATAGAGAGGTATTTATATGCCTTTACATATCCACTTTAACACCGTGCAATGCACCGACATTAGAAATCCCGCAGCTGTGGATATCATTATTTAAACAATCTAAGTTATAATTTTCCATTCTCAGTTAAACCACATACAAATATGGCATCATTATTAGCGTTTTATGTATTTTGGAGTCATTACGTCATCACAGCACATTTTTACAAATATAATAATTATTGCAATTTTTAATATTTATTCTAAATTCCATCTATGTGTTTTATGCAATTTAAATAACCCGTTAAAAAGCTAAGTGTTCGAAATTTATAGTATTTGATTTTCGCCTGAGGATGACAGCTGTAAGCTGTTGAAAGTACTTGTGAGTACATGTAAATTTTTACAAATCACCGCTTTTAACGCCGCAACACCGATGTGTTGATCATTTATTACTGTCCGTTGGCATAAAGTGTAATTTTTATTATGGATCCAAAACAGATCCAAAATACAATG